TTTTCAGGAAAGGGATCATCCCCGAGGAGTACGTGCTGACCCGCCTGGCCGAGGATGTCCCGGACCACGCCCGCTACCGCGCCCGGGAGCGCAGGGCCCGCTTCGTGGGCAAGAACGGCACCTGCAACGTGGCCCACAAGAACATCCGCGAGCAGGGCCGCTTCCTGCAGGACGTCTTCACCACGCTGGTGGACCTCAAGTGGCCGCACACGCTCATCATCTTCACCATGACCTTCCTGTGCAGCTGGCTGCTCTTCGGCATGACCTGGTGGCTCATCGCCTTCGCCCACGGGGACCTGGACCACAGCACCCAGCTGCTGGCCGGGACCGGGGAGGAGGCGGGCGGCTTCGTGCCCTGCGTGACCAGCATCCACTCCTTCACCTCCGCCTTCCTCTTCTCCATCGAGGTGCAGGTGACCATCGGCTTCGGCGGCCGCATGGTGACCGAGGAGTGCCCGGCCGCCATCCTGGTGCTGATCGTGCAGAACATCGTGGGGCTGGTGATCAACGCCATCATGCTGGGCTGCATCTTCATGAAGACGGCCCAAGCGCACCGCCGGGCAGAGACGCTCATCTTCAGCAAGCACGCGGTGATCGCCCTGCGGGAGGGCAAGCTCTGCTTCATGCTGCGGGTGGGCGACCTGCGCAAGAGCATGATCATCAGCGCCACCATCAGCATGCAGGTGGTGAAAAAGACCACCAGCGTGGAGGGCGAGGTGGTGCCCCTCAACCAGATCGACATCCAGATGGAGAACCCGGTGGGGGGCAACAGCATCTTCTTGGTCTCCCCGCTCATCATCTACCATGTGATAGACAAAAACAGCCCCCTCTACGACATCTCCCCCCTGCACCTTCACCACCACGAGGACCTGGAAATCATTGTCATCTTAGAAGGGGTGGTGGAGACCACTGGTATCACCACCCAAGCCAGGACCTCTTACCTGGCTGATGAAATCCTCTGGGGCCAAAGGTTTGTGCCCATCGTGGCCGAGGAAGACGGTAGATACTCGGTGGACTACTCTAAGTTTGGCAACACAGTGAAAGTGCCCACCCCTTCTTGCACTGCCAGGCAGCTGGAGGAAGACAGGAGCATCATAGACTCCATCCCGTTGTCACCTAAAGTCACCAGCAGGAAGAGATCTATCAAGTTAAAGCCCAAATTCAGCATAACTGATGAGCCTTCCTGACACTGTTTTGAGGAAAGATGCAATAGCTAAGAACACTGAGGTGGCCTCTTATTTTACTTAGCCAGGTTGGTAGCACAAGTTGTGTGTAGTATTATTTATTGCAGGGTAAATTAAAGTTAATTTTATTTTTTTAAAGGTGTCTGACATTTTAGGTAACATTGGGCATGGGGAAATTTTTATTTGATTGCTTGTAATTTCAGTTCAGACCGTCTTGTTTATTTGCATGATCGTTTTGGATTGATTCAGCCACACTGAAGAATGCCTTTTCTTGACAAGTAAATTTATCTGTAGCCTAGCAGGTTGCATTATTTATGGTTTGCAATGCCTCTCATAAAGTTGATGTTTTTAAACTGGTTTTATAAACATAAACATAATCAGAACACAGGCAGAAGGTCTTCAATAATAATTATTAAAGTTAAATGGAGTTTAATAACAAAAAGACAATGCAGTAAAATTTGCACCAAAAGTTCAGATATGAAGGTTTCTATTTAGGTTATGGTGCTTTATGTCTACAAGAAATAAACTTACAGATTTATTTAGTCCATACTGTATGTTTGAATCTTTTGATTACAAAAGCAATATGAAGTGCATGCCTTTGTGCATTTTAAAACCCATTTACAAAATAAATATTTAATATACATTTCTAATAGTGAATGATGCAACTATTGCTCTTAAAGAATAGCAGGTATTAATTGCTATGATGTGAGTGAAATGTGTTGTACATAGGAAGAAATTAAATATATTAAGTGGCTGTATTTAAGCAAACAAAAAAAATCAAGCCACAAAAGACACTTGAGAAAAATTCATCTCCCAGTTCTGCACATCAGAATAAATGCCATCAAATAAGAAGGAAATTAAATACAATCAGAGATCTTACGTAGAAAGTCATTGTCCCAAATTACACTGAACAGTATTGGCATGCATTCAGCAACACCTTTTTTTCAGGTTTAAAAATGATATTAGTGTAATTCATGATCATGGAGGGGAGGGACTTATAGGACAATGCAGTCCTGGGTGCCATGTCACCTTTGTTTCCTTTTCATTTAGGGTCTAAGCCTGAATTCCCTTCATGTCTTAAATTCTCCTTGCTATGTTGGCTTTGCGTGTGCTGTTAATGTAGGATCAGGCACTTAATGGGAAACAGATTATCCATATTCACATAATAAATTCACTCAGTTTACAAATAGAAGAGTCCCTATTAGCCTGATCCTGTAAATCCTCTACATGAGGAACGCATACACCCACCCCCCTTAATAAAAATAGCATTTTCCTGTGTGGAAGATTTGCAGTATAGGACCCTGATATAGCAATTTGCACTATATTTACAAAAACAGTATGTTTACAATACCAAAAACTGCCATTGAAGTTCAAGGGGATTTTGACTAAGCCCAGCAGGGACTGGGCCCACGCTGGTGACAGAAATTACATACTAGTGATATTTCATGAGAAGCTGTGTGAGGTTACATTACATTACATTACTGTCTTTTATTCAAAGGAGTTTCAGAGTGACCACTCTTTGGCTCTTATGCACTAACAAGATAACCTGGGAAACAATAAGTGTTAGCATTGCTCTGGTCAGTGTTTTAGTCTTGTCAGTACTGTAACACATTAATGCAAGCAATGGTTAAAAGGGTAAAGGAAAGTTTCATATTCACTAAATAAGAATCTATGATAAAATGAAATGCAATTCCAGAGATAAAATCTCAGTCTAGTTTAAAATATAGAAAATACAATTTATATTAATAGTTCCCAGTAAGCTGAGCACTTGGGTGCTGACCCAGAAGAAATTTAAATGCCACCCAGCTGATTTGCAGAGCACCCAGAGTGTCCACAGCTGGCAGCATGTGTTTCTATTGTTGGTTCACATCCACACATGCCTGAAGCACATAACAAAATTTATTCCACACATGGATGGAAAAAATTAGCGGGAATACTGATAGTTAGCAAATTAAGGCTTGCACTGCCAGCTAAATGAATGCTTAGGAACATGTAAATATGTGTCTGATTTTCCCAAGGTTTAACAAATTGTTTTTATTATTTGTACAGTACTAAAAATATACCAGGTGTTTCACAATGAGAAGACAAAGGTCAAAAAAAAAACAAATGCTACAATTTAAAAAAAAAAGGAAAGGTCTAAAAAATTTTCTGGTGGTTGTTACCTTCTTTAAATGAAATTTAATTGCAATGCTATTTGCCTATCCTCTAATTACTGACTCTGTGCCTTTCTGCTATTCAAAGGTAATTCTGCATGTAGTTCTGCGTGTTTCTCCTAGGTGCAGGAGGAAGACATGCTCTTTTGAAAATTTACTCTGCTGTTTACCCCATGTCACTATCTTATCAGCATGATATTATAAAATGCATAGATAAAATTACCAGAGGAATTTCAAATTACCTGAAAGGTCATTGTCTTTTCTCTAGTCTCTGTAGTGCCTTGTATCAGTATATAAGAGGTACTTTCAGATATTTACTGGAAATTGGAAACTGTATTGCACTAACATGCTTTTTAAGATTTGGCCTAGGTGAGAAGCAATTTAAGCCACACTACCATGCAAGTGCCCATGATTTTTCTTCCCTCAGGGGAATCTCTGTTGCTCAGGCTACATGGATTCTCTTTGTTTTCTGTGAGATGAGGAGGGTTTTCTGGGAGAAGGAGCTTGCTGTTAACTGAACAGTTTTCAGGACTATCTTTTGTGTATCTTTGTAAGAAAACCTCCTAGTTTTCTCCTGTGTTGGATTAACAGATCCAAAGAAAGGAACATCAAAGAAGAGAATGGAAAAGAAAGAAATCACAATATAAAGGTTTCTGTGACTTTAACCAAGACTTTGTGAATTTAACCAAGAGTTTCATGAATTCAACCAAGAGTATTGGCTTCCCGCCACAGCCCAGGTTAAATTCTCTTCTGTGGTGGATTTAAACACCTAAAAAAGAAATTTCAGAGTAAAAGTAATGGGGAAAAAGCTAAATGTTTAAAAGTGCCTCAGGACATTAAACATTGCCATCAACTATTATTTACAATGGGATTTGAAAATACTCAGACGCTGAAGCTTTGCATAAGTTTGGGTGTATAGTGACCAAACACATTCTTTTGAGTGATCCAGTTAGTTTTAGCGGTAGCATTCTGTATGGCAGGGCTGCTCCACTGTGGGGGCCACAGAGATACTCACAGCCAGTGCTTTTTTTGTGATGGTACAGCCCAGTATGCAGTACTGGCACCTCCCGACGCAGTACCGGCACCTTCAGTCAGAGCTCAACAACTTTTCCTCTGGTATACTGGCACTTTTTTTTTTAAACAAAAAAACCCACTGCTCTCAGCACATGCTGAGGGCGGCAATTTAAGTGTGGCTGCATATACATGCAAATATATGCAAATAGCTTATTTCACACTGAGGGGCATGAATACAAGAATTAAGGCAAGACTACACAACACACAGGCTGCATTTATGTCAGTTCTGCTGATATAAATAAAATGCAATATTTACCCAAGTTCCACCCATATGTCAGCACTTTTAATGAGCAATGCTAGTCCAGGAATTTAACGACTAAAACGCATATAAACAGAAGACCACTATATTGACTACTTTTTTGTTTTGGCTCCCTCCCGGGGGCCGCAAACAAACGGGCTGCGGGCTGCATGTGGCCCACAGGCCGCATGTTGAATAGCCCTGCTGTATGGGAAAAAATTAATCTTAGCATGAAGCAAAATGACTTCTTTTATAGCTGTATTCCACAATGAATGGGGGTTTGAACTCTCCTACAGACCCCTGCATATCTAATGGGAGTAATCCCTAGCACTAGCAAGTACTCTGAAGTTGCCCATTAATAATTATTAAGTTATGAGACCTCACAGTTTATGCTCTATTTGGCAATATTGAGTAGGGTGGATTAAACTCTTTGAATGGTGAAAGAAAGGATCCCATTCTGCAAACATGTACATGAGTAGACTTACCTAGCATTGCCCAGATCTTTCAGGGCAGGGGGCTGATGGTGTGGGGGGTGCAGAAGTCAGGGCAGAGCCTTGTGGATGTGGGGGGGAGGGGAGCAGTAGGCTGGGGATGGGGAAGTGGGCGTGAGGGCTGGGGGGGTGAGGATCCCATCTGACATGGGTGTTTTCTCTCCACACAGTCCCCTCCCAAGCTGCCAGGGGCATTTTCTCTCCCTAAGCCTCCAGAGATGCTTTCTCTCCTCTAATCCCTCCCCAGTTGCCAGGGGCATTTTCTCTTCCCCTAGCTCCTGACCTCCCCCCCAGCTCCCAGCTGCCAACTTCCTGGTGCTGTGGCCAAGGGCCGGGGAGAGGAAAAGTTTGCTCACAGGCAAGATGGCAGAGCCTCAGCCCTTGGTGGTATGCCTTCCCCAAATGGACACTACAGGATAGCTCTGCCTGCAGTCTCAGGTTGCATCTACACAGTACCTGAAACTCAAAAGTCTATTTTGAAATGCAGCGCTATTTCACGCCATCCCTTACTGCTCGTACTATGAGGTTTAAAGGGGTGGCAAAATAGCGCGTCCGCTGTATTTTGAAGTGGCAGACGTGTTCAAAACCGCGGGGGAGCTATTTCAGGATACCTCTGGTATCCCAAAATAACTTTGCTGTGTAGACATACCCTCACTGCCTCCTGTGACCACTCTCCTATCATATCCCTCCAAATAGCAGCCCCTCCCTTTGCATGTTATAGAAAACTGTCCCTCTCCCAGAAGCTTCCCGTTCTCCTCTCACAATCAAACTCCAATCTTCTTTTAAAGTAGGAGAAGATGAAGCTGCCTACCAAATTTGTTGGCCCTAGCTCTTACCATTTAGGAGGCGTTCTTGAACAAATGGACTCTCAGACATAGACACTCATATATGTATAGTAAAAAGGAGGAGTAGAAGATTCACCCTAACAGGATTATTAAAAAAACAGGGGGATCATGTTAATATGTAATTAGAAGGCTAGTCAAAGTATTGGTCACAGTTTTAACATAATTTTTAGTCACCATTAATGAGAATAATAAGCCCTGTTGTGCCACAAATTTTATGCAGGGCTCCCCGTTGGAATCAATGGGCATTACAATAACATTATAGAGCCCAAGATTATTAATAAATGGCCCTACCCCAAAGCACTAATGGACAGCAAGTCATATTAATTTATATAGCATAAAACACAACAAAATGTCAATATTATAACTGCAAAAAATAATTAAAAATAGAAGTAAACTCAGGCAGATGCAAGTGGCTGCTAGGGATAAGGGAAGGGCCAATAGCAATTATAGAAAATTTATTTTTAAAATACTTCTTTAAAAGACTATGATATGGGTGGGGAGGGGAGAGAAGAAATGAGACAGATATCAGTGAGGAATACGGGTCATGCCTTAGCTGCCACCCCAGCATATGATCTAACCTAAATTGGGATGACTGAATACCAAAGGGATGAATGAGCTGATCAAGAGATAGAAGGAGGATCCAGATAAAAGCCAAATCCTACAGACTGTGATGGGCTTTGATTTTGCATTGGCCTGGCTGATTTTAATAGGACTGGCATGACTTTAATAGGAGTCATGCAG